AGCAGCAGCAGCGTGGGCAGTCCGAGTTGGGCGGGCCGCCTGCGAGGGGACGGGCAGCAGGTGGTGGCCGCCAGTACCCTCTCCTCGCCAGGGCCGGAGGAGGCCAAGAGGAAGCTGCGGATCCTGCAGCGCGAGTTGCAAAACGTGCAGGTGAACCAGAAAGTGGGCATGTTCGAGGCGCACATCCAGGCGCAGAGCTCCGCCATTCAAGCGCCTCGCAGCCCGCGTTTGGGCAGGGCTCGCTCGCCCTCCCCGTGCCCCTTCCGCAGCAGCAGCCAGCCTCCTGGAAGGGTCCTGGCTCAGTGTGCCCGGACTGAGGAACGGAGGACAAAGTCCTGGGGGGAGCAATGTCCAGATACTTCAGAGGCTGAGACCGGGAGGAGAGGAAGACCAAGCCTGTGCCCCTCGAAGGACAAGGAAGTTGTGGCATCTTTCCCGGACCCTGACACCCAGACAGAATCCGAGGCTCAGGGTCCAGCCGCTTTGGTGCGGATGGAGAAGGATGTCCCTGCCAGTCCCCCCTGCGCTTCTCCCAAAGCTGTAGAAATTGACGAGAGGGTCTCCCCTTCCGGAACTCGGAGCTTCCTAGCTCCCTCACTGGGACTGCTCAGAGCTAACTTAGTGACAGTCACAGAAGTGGCATCGGGAGCCATATCCCCCGAACCACACTGTCCACAGGATCCTGCCCTCATTGAACCGTCTGAGCAGGCCCTGGACCTCAAGGGTCTGCCCCCCGGGGAGGTTGAGGAGCAGTTTCTGCGCAGTGAGACAAGCCCGGCCCCGGAGAGGAGCGGACCCTGCGGTGGAGAGCCCCCTGGGAAGGTGGGGAAAGGAAATCTACCGTCTGGCATGCCCAGCTTTGGGGTGTCTAAAGTGGGCGAAAGGCCAGAGGGGACGACTGTGAACACGCAAAGCCCAGAGCCTTCTGATGCCCTGAGCTGGTCCCAGTGCCTCGAAGACCTGGGGTCGTTAGACCCTGGGGATGCCCGAAGTGAGGCCTGGGTGGCCAGAGGGCAACCCTCCAGTCAGGAAGACGGAGGAGGTTTGTTTGAGGGCAGCTGTGCAGCACAGTGGGGAACTGGGGAGGTGGAGGCCAGAAACCCTTCTAGCCGAGTGCTGGAGCCTTTGCCCTGTTGGGAGGCAGCAAAAGACCTGAAAGAACCTCCGTGCCTTCCTGCAGACAGGTTAGCGGTGCAGCCTGGGAGCTCCAGGGCTTGGCGGGACCCCATGGAGGAAGCAGGTCTGGCTTGGACGCGGGGCACAAGGGTACAGTCGGAGGGAACTTGGGAAAGCCAGCAGCAGGACGAAGACACCCACCGCAGCCTGGACTTGTTGCGTCTGGATCAGAAGGACAAGCCTTCCAGAGAGACTCTTGTCCCCAGCAACATACCTGCTGTCATCATCACAGACATGGGTGCCCAGGAGGACGGGGGTTTGGAGGAGGTGCAGGGAAGCCCTCAGGGCACCCTGCCCCTGAGGAAACTGTCCTCTTCCTCAGCCTCCTCCACCGGCTTCTCCTCCTCCTATGAGGACTCTGAGGAGGACATCTCCAGTGATCCTGAGCGCACCCTAGACCCCAACTCAGCCTTCCTGCACACCCTGGACCAGCAGAAGCCCAGAGTGGTAAGTCTTGCTCTGCGATCTCTCTTAAGCCCATTCTGCTCTCAGCACACCTCTGATGTTCCTGTGTCCCTTTTTGCTCACTATTTACTGAGTCATGAAGACTCTGACCAGTGCTCTGGGAAAACCACAACTAACGATTCTCTCCAGATACATTTGCGAGACAGGGAGAGGTCGAGAGGGGGAAGTAGGGAAAAGCATCTATTTACTATTTCGTTTGCACAGTGAATCTGAGCCACTGCTGCTGCCATTTCCATGTACATCTTTAAAAACAAGTTTATAAGGTACTTCCTGTAGGTTACCACCATTCTTGGGGAGATGCTATTCATGAATGTCACTAAACAATTCCTGATTAGTCTCCAGAGAAGGAACAGAACTGCTGAGTGTACCTTTGCTCTGATCAGTGAAACTCGAATTCTGCGGTCTATTCAGACCAAGGAAAACTGATGAGGATACCATTGAATGAACTCAGCCTTTATGAACAGGCCAGAAAAATGAGTAACATAATTCTGTGTCAGGGCCCTGAACCCTGTCGATGTGGTTGTGGCTGGTCTACTGTGTGAGGAACGACCAACCTCAGTAAGTTAGGTCCAGACTTTACAGTATTAGTGTGGCCGGCGTAACTAAGGTGCAATTTGATGGGTGAATTAAAATGAAAACCAGGCTTTGAGCTGATTAGCAGATGGCTTCTTTGGTATCAGAATGCTATGTTAGAAGAATTGCATCAGATAGGCATGTGGTGATACCTCCTGGGCAGATCCTCTTCATGCTGTGCCTTTTTGGGTGGTAGAGGCACATTTCAGGTACCTGTTCCCGCACGTGTGTTTTGGTCCGTTACACTGACTTCTTGTTCTGGCTATGGCAGTAGAGAGGAGTTTATTTCTCTTACATGGTTAATCTCAGTTGTAAGCTGTTTTCACTCTTGGGATGATCAGAGTGTTTTACAGAAGACGGAAGAGTTGAAGCTAGCTAGCACTTCTGAAACGGTCTGGACTTTGTCTTAGCTTTCCCAGGAAGTATGGGGGACTTTCCTAGTTCAACATACAAGGGCTGGTTGTGCTGGCGGAGGATATCTGTGTTCGGTTATAGCATGTAGCCTTCCGATGTCACCTCGAACATCCAGGACGATTCATTGTACCTCTGTCACTCCTTCCACCACAACGAGGAGCTTCTTATTTCTACTCTACCTCTTTCACTGAGGTCATTTTGGGTTCCACAGCACATTTCTCTCTGTCAGTTCCACAATCACAGTCTGAATTTTTGAAGACCGGGCATTTCTCTTTATGAAACCCCGCTTTTGGCAGATGATTTGGAAGCAAATGTGTATGCAAAATCTGGCTGCAGTCAGCCTGGCATTTTGTGCCAGAATGGGCCGCAGGCATCCTGCATGTGCTGTCAGGCATTGGGCATACCACTTCTAGAGGGAGGCTGGTCCACCTGGAAGGGGGTGTTGGTCAAGGGCAGGTGGAAAGTGCTTCTCCCTGGAGGTGTGGCCTAATTGCTCTGCCTTCCTGTAGCTGGGGAGGCCTTAGTGCAAAAGGCAGGTCCTCTGACCCACTCCTCCCATTTTCTTTTGAAACGCTAAAGCCTAGCTGCCTAGCCAAAGTCCTTTAACTTGTTTTCCAACTTTCCATTCGCCCTTTCTAGTGGTGGATTAGTAGCTCCTATTGGCTGGTTGTCAAAGTAGTTTGTATGTCCAATGTTTGAAAAGGGCTCTTGTTGGGAAGTGAGTTAAAGGGGAGATCAGTAATGACAGGTGATAATTTTATTTTTCATTTGCCAGAGGGATGCCACCTGAGAAAGCAGAGGGTTAAGTGCTGTTTTCAAGTTCTCTAACAGGACTAGAGGCAGAAATGAGGCCTGCCTGCTGTCCAACTACCTCCCACCTTTTAAAACAGGTTTCTAGACACCGACATGAGTAGAGCCAGGGAAAAATCCCCTGCCAGCTTCTCTCTCTGAAGCATGTGAAGCTGATGAGGGATGTGGAGGGGAGGAAGATGGAGGTGGGGGTGGGTAACCAACTGGAAATGATGGGATCCTAGGGACTTTTGAGCTTTGGTTGAGTGCTTTCCTGACAAGGAACACGTTTCTTCTGTCGATTATGCTGGAGCCTTATCTGTGACACCAAAACATTTGCTCATTGGGTCAAAAATCACTTGATTACCTGAGGTTGATATTTTGTCTACAGAAGACCAGACATCTTGATTGTGCCTTTTCAGTGTCTGATAGATAAAACCTGGGCCAGGACTGTCTGACCTATGGCTGTACTAGCCATATGTGCTCTCTCTTCTGGTCTTCGCTGTTCTGCCTATACTGCCCCGCTACCCTACAGCGGCACACGCTCCCAGATGCTCACACTTGCTTCTCACACATGCTCATGCACAGATTTGAAACAACATGAGCAGTGATGTTGGATGCACACCCAACACCTGGGCCTCAGTCTCTCCTAGACACTGAGATTTATTTATTTTTTTATTTGCCTACCTTCCCACGAACTAAAGCTTTTCATGACTCCTGGAGCACGTTCTGCCCAGAAGTGATTCTGCGTGATGTCGTGTAGGAGGTGGCACAGCGTGTCTGCCTATGTAGGATCAGAGCCTTGGAATTTGCTCAGAAGTCATTGTATGCCATAGCCACTGTGCTGGGGCTCTACTCCAGGTACATTCACACTTAACTAGTCTATGAGATCTGAACAAGACTGAATTTCACTGAGCAATGGTGTTCTCTCTTTTGTTCTGTCAGGCAGCTAAAAATTACCCGGCAGTTTCTTTACTTTCCCGTATAATTCCCTTTAAGAGGATCTGGGCCATTGAGACTCTAGCTTAAAGCACTATATTAAATTATGGATGTATTATACTTTAAAAATTATATTTTATTGATTTATTCTGAAACCATACTACCTATTATAGGCACACACACACAAACAAACAAACAAAAAAACAAGCAAAACAAAACAAAACATTAATCTAGTTAGCAAGCAGGTATGTGAAAAAATGTAATACAAATTCTTGCCTGCTTGGTGCTTACTGTTTTTAAAGGGCCATTGGAATTTTGTTTACTTTTTTATTTTTTTGTACTGACTTCTTTTCTTTTTTCTTTTTTTTTTTTTACTGGAAAACTAAGTCATGTACCTAGCAAAAAAATTCAGTTTAAAATGTTTTTTTTTTTTTTTTTTTGTATTGAAAAGTATATAAAAAATTTCATTTTGGAGTTGAACTGAACTAAAATTTTAAAGCCTTAGAAGAGCTCTTTAAAAATGCATCTTGGGGCCAGCAGGTGGCATAGTGGTTAAGGTGCTGGACTCCTACAGGGCCAACTATTGTTCGAGTCCCGGACCTGGTGGTTTGCTTTCTCACTTTTCCTTTCTCTCTCTAGTAAAATTAAAAACATAATAATAAAAACAACAATAATAAATAATAGAAAAAGAGTTTCTTAAAAATGTATCTTCTTTTGAGTACTTTTAAGTGGAGAATTTAGGATGAGAATGGTGAAGGCCCAGATTTGTGGGGTTATGAGTTTAGGTGGCATATGCTGTTTTTTTTTTTTAAAGATGGGGCATCCTTCTCTCTCAGGTATGTGAGAGGATCTTCCTGGTAAGTCCTTAACAGCCTGTAGGTCTGGAAGGTTCCAGGTCATCTATGTGAGGTTCCAGGTATTACTTTGGTCTGTTTAGGCTTGAAAAAACCAAGACTCAGAAAGGCAACGGGACCCAAAAACACACTCATATGACCTGGCTCAGTGGTCTCCTTTTAACATGTGCACTTTACATGGGGATAATCTCATGGGACCCATCTGTTAGGTTATTGGGAAAGTCATGACATATTTTTCTGTTTTTCTATGCATCATGACCTTGCTGACAACCCAATAGTTCTGTTTGTGGCTGTATGATTCTAGACATTTGATTCAAAATCCGCTGTGTGCATCAGTATGTGAAGTAGGCATCTAGGTGACCAGAAGTGTGACGAGATTTCTTTGGTATGGACCTCGGGCAATGAGGTTGAAACTAGGCACCTTATAGTTCTGTGCTTTTACTTGAGACCGATTGATCGATCTGCCTTACTTGAGACCGATTGATCGATCTGCCTTATCTTCTGTGTCTTTACCAGAAGAACTGTTCTTTGTAATATACTATTGAAAAAGCATTCATGGGCCAGCCAGGCAGCATGGTGGTTAAGGTACCAGGCTCCCACTTTGCTGACTACGTGGTTCAAGTATCAAATCCAGCGGTTTGAAAAACACAGCAGATACAAAATCCTGAGAGAGTGGAGAAGGGATTGCAGCTTTGCTTTCTCTCCCTCTCCTTTATCTCCCTCTGGAGAGCACACCCATACTATAGTGAAAAAAAAAAAGCATTTATCACAATAAGTTAAAATCTTCATTAATAATCAAGCTGATGGTAGAGACTGTGCTGGAAACCAAAACATCACTTCGAAGACCTTGTTTTATCAAAGATCAAAGCATTGGGCCAGCTTAAAATTCTTTCAAATAAAAATGAGGTATTGAGGAAAGGGGAGATTGAGTCCCCCATTGTTCCTTTAAATGCAGATATTAGGCTTTGCAAAAATTCAGCTCAGGAGTTACCTAGACTTTGGGTCTTCCAAAAGTTGGTTGCCGCATATAGAGAAATACATTTCAGGTTTCCATCAAACATTTTCAGAACTTGCATTTTTTAAGCACTGCATCACCGCAGAGTCACTTTTCTAACCTGTTGGCACATGCCTGCTAAATGCAGTTACAGATTAGATTAGCTCTCTGTAGTTTATTTATATTTAGGAGTATTGATAACATTGTTTAGTCTTACTTTATTTTGTCTGGTTTCAACTTAGTCATCTGATGGTAGAATTTTAAAGTACTTAATGAAAATGACCGTATCAATTTATCTTGCTAGAAGAAGCTCTTCAGCTTCAGATAATTCACACATTTGTTCGTTAGAATTAGCTCAGGGACCCTTCTCCGCGTGTTGTGGTCACTCAGAGGCAGCACGTTGTACTCTCAGCTCCATG